ATCTTTTTTACATTAACAAGTAGCTCTAGCTGAAATTGTAAGGTGAGAAAGTTGGGAGAAAGAAGAAAATAAGGACTGCATTTATTTTAAGAAACATTTTCAGTATGTCTGTGTTTTTCTGAAACATGAAACAATTATTTTATCCCCATTGCCATTTTAGTAAAGCCTGAACATAAAGGAAACTCTAAGAAGTAATGGATGCTTGCATATTTTTTTCTTCTCAAGAGGTCAAAGCCCTTCCATTTATATACCTGTGAAGAAGAGAGGAACAGTTGCTGTCTTTTTCAGGTGAAGAAGCTTAGGGAAATGACATATTTTATTTCAGGTACCAGTGAAAGTTTTGAGTCTTGGTCCTAAGTCCTTAGACTCCAGGCATTAGATTTGTCAGCTGCACAGGGATTGTGGCAGGACTGGCTACTTAATTTGCAACAGCCACTGCAAAATGAAGATGCAAGACCCCTTGATACAACCATTATTAAGCATTTAGAGATGGTGATAACAGAGCAATGTACAAATGACAGGATCCTACTAAGAGCAGGTACATTGCAACCGCACAGATTACAAACCCATGTTGCCAGCCCAGTCTTACAAGCTTGGACTACATGACCAGTAAGAACTAGAACTGTGCCTGCTCTGCTTAAGCTGCAGGATGAGAGCACTCTCAGGTATCAGAGGCAAGAACCCCATTGGGCCAGACCAAATGGGGATGGGGGTAAACGCTTTCCCTGGTGGGTGCTAGATGCTCGGGTTTTCCTAGAGACACTCTGGACTCCTAGCTTCAGGAAGCACTCTACTCCTAGATGCTGCTCACCTATAGGCTTGACTTTATCCTGTCTGCATAGGATTGGTCAGGGCCGGGCTGAGATCCCAGACTGAACTTAGCAGTACTCATTGGTGAAGAGGGATAATATAAGTTCCAAACTGACTTAGTGCCACCTTCCTGCAAAAGTGAATGCACTCACATTGTTTTACTAAATACCATTTGCTAAAATCTAGACGTCTGTTTTGAAAGTGGAAAATGAGTTCAAAATCTGTTTGTTAAAACCAGGGACTCCTAAGTCACGTGTTTCATAACAAGAAGTTGTTTATACACATTTAGTCACTAACTTATTCATTTAATAATATATTTTGAACATTTGTTATAGGTTATAAGTACTGTTTTAGGCACTAGAGAAATACAGGACAAATTCTTGAAGTATACATTCCATTGGATTCTCTAGAAACTAAAGAGTTACAATGGGTTTTGAAATATAGAATTTTTTTACTGTAAGCTTTTTTTCTTTGTACTTGAATTAAAGTGAAAAGAACTGTCAGAAACAAGTTATTTTTCTACTGCAAAGAGAAAAAATCATGTCATAGAATACAAGGGAAAAAGGAAGCAGTTTCCTAAGGGGTAGGAACTTTTTTCTCTTCTTTAAAAACAGTTTTAAATCACCACAGACATAAAGGTCACGTAAATGACACTGTATTTGTTAGATTCTTTTTTAAAAATGCAGTAGCTTTAGGGGGTACAAATAATTTTTGGCATATGGTTGCACTGTATAATGGTGAAGAAGTGTGAGCTTTAAGTGTACCCACCACCCTCACCTGTACACATTGTACCTGACAGGTGACTTTTCATCCCTTCCCCCCTCCCCCTCCCTCTTCTGAGTCTCCAGTGTCCATTATATAATTCTCTATGCCTTTGCAGATCCTTAGTTTAGCTCCTACTTATAAGTGAGAACATGTGGTATACGGTTTCCGGCTCTTGAATTAGTTCATTTAGTATGATGTTCTCCAATTCCATCCTAGTTGCTGAAGACATTATTTAATTCTTCTTGATAGCTGAATACTATTCTGTAGTGTATATATACTAGATTTTCATTATCCACTGATCGGTTGATGGGTTCTGTTCACTTGAATATTGTTATGACTTAGAAGGGATAAATAACATTTATTTGCCTGATGTTAAGACACTAAATTATAAGTGGCCCCCTTCCAGCGCACGCACGCACAATCTGACCTTATTTCCAGGCTTTTGTTTGTTGTGAGCCTTTTTTTGATGTCTGCTTCTTTAACTAACTGATTTGCTTTGCATGACACAGGTTCTTGGAGTGAGAGAGGTAAAGTTTCTGAATCCTATGCTTTAACTACTACTTAGCTAATCTCTTACCTAAGCAAAAACTTTAGAGTTCTCATCTGTATAATGGGAATAAAAATAATTACCTTGTATATTATTTTGTTTTGAAGTTTAAATGAGAAGTAGATGTTCTAAAAATTCCCAATAGGATACTTTGTAAGTATTCATCTTTCCCCTTCCTTAACTTTTTCAGGGGTATATTGTGAGAATCCAGTAACTAAGGTGCTGTATCATGAGAAGGTGAAGAGCATAGAATTTGAGTCAGATCTGGGTTCACATCTTGATTCTGCAACTTATCCACTGTGTGACCCTGGGGTGTTATTTAGTCTTTTAAAATAGTTTCTTAATTTGTAAAATGAGAATAGTAATTTCTAGTTAATATAATTTTTTTTTTTTTTTGAGTTGGAGTCTCACTCTGTTGCCCAGACTGGAGTGCAGTGGCTGCTCCCAGTCACCGCAGCCTCGACCTGTTGGGCTCCGGCGATCCTTCTGCCCCAGCCTTCCAAGTAGCTGGAACTACAGGCGCGTGCTACCACGCCCGGCTAATTTTTTTGATTTATTGTAGAGATGAGGTCTCGCCAAGTTGCCTAGGCGGGTCTCGAACCCGCGGGCTCAGGCAATTCACTCACCTCGGCCTCCCAAAGCGCGGAATTACTGGCTGAGCCACCGGGCCCGGCCTAATACAATTTTTTAAAGATAATATGAAATGTATATACATTTCTCTCTGCTGGATCTTGTGTCTACTCTACATTTCTGAGCTATTATTAAAACACTATTTCAATTGTTATCTGTAATTTGACTTAGGTTCAGCTTCTCCTTAGATATCTTCCAAACTAGATATTATGTTTCTACAGTGTTAGGGATGGGGTGATTTGACTCCTTGGTGAACTCTGTAGCACCACCTGGAATAGTGCTAAGTATATTATGCTCGTGTCTGTTCAATTATTATAGTACAATAAATGCCTAGAATTTTTTTTACCAGCTCATCTTTCAGCCACTCACTACCTTTGGCATGTTCAATATGAGCTACAGGTTTGGGTGAATCATTAATTGTAATGAAAGCTGAATCAAATTCATGGGTTGCCCAAGTATAGTATCCCAGCAATTGTATTATGTGTCTACAATCTTGTGAATAATTAGTGACAAAAAATTGACTCACATTTGTGTAATATCTATCAACTTATTTAATACCTAGGCTATATCTACTATATTTTGCTTAAAAAAAAATGTGTGTGTGTGTGTGGTTTGTTATGATGTCATGTAAGGCACCCTCTACTTAGATGACCCTCACACGGGCTGAATGTTCCCTAATGACTTCCTCATGACTAGCTTTAAGAAAGAAAGTAAAATTAAAAGAATAAAGAAAAGGAACTGAACATAAGTTAAAGGGGCAAAAAGGAGAAAATCAGGATGGAGAGATGGTAAATGCCACTCAGAGACTGCTGTGGCCATTGAGTTCCTGACTGTCCTATATTAGATCTGTTAGTATCATTATTTATTTTCTAGTTTTTGTTTAAAGTATTATATTTGTAAAAGCACTATGGCTGTAAGACATTTGAAGATATACTTTAAAACAATTCAATAGCTGTAGGGGTACAGATGTTTTTATTTTACGTATTTTTTAAGCTACTACAATCACTTATTTGGGAGCAGAAATAACAACTTAAATATAACACACTTGGCTAACTAGTGATAAATAATTTTGGGAACACATTTTTTCTTACTATTCTTTAGCAATAAAATACACTGAAAAATTTCTCATGCTTTTCTCAATCTCACCATTTTTTTTGAAGATTCACTTTTTCAACTGTGAGCTTGCTGATTGCTCTCTGTACAGTCTGTTATTTTATGGACTGTCTCCGTGAGGCAGATTTTACCCTTGTTGATAAGAAATGCAGAATGCAGAAAGCTGAATGCTTTGTCTTAGAATGTCACAAAGTAAGAAACAATAAGAATGAATGAAGTTTTTTTTTTTTTTGAGTTGGAATCTCACTCTATAGCCCAGGCTGGAGTGCAGTGGCATGCTCAGAGCCACCCTAGGATCAACTTGCTGGGCTCAGGCAATTCTTCTGCCTCAGCCTTCCAAATAGCTGGCATGACAGGTGTGTGCTACCACTCCCAGCTAATTTTTTGATATATTGTAGAGATGAGGTCTCGCCAAATTGCCCAGGCTGGTCTCAAACCCGTGGACTCAGGTAATCCTCTCACCTTGGCCTCCCAAAGTGCTGGGATTGCAAGCTTGAGTCACCGCGCCCGGCCCAGAATGAGATTTTCAAGGTTTTAGACTTTCCTGCCTCATTTGTTATTTTGAGTTTTTTATGCGGTTTTGCTTATGGAGAAATTGAAACGTAAGTGGATTTAGGGCATGTTGTATACACATTGTTTTCAAACCATAGTAGAGATAGACTTTTAGTTTCTGTTATTTTAGTTTAACATTTCTCTGTAAATCAGCAAGGCTTTTTTCATCCAACCTTAACTAAATCAAATATGATCTCCATATTTTCCTTTATATTTGGAGATATAGCAAGTATTCATCTTTACACTGTTTAGTGAGGGGAAAATTTGCATATGGTTGCAGGATACCTAATGGACTTGAAGTAAAGGCCACCTAATTCAAGAATCCTTGGGGAGATTGTATGTGCTTTTGCCTATCACACATTTGTAGCATTTGTTTGGAGGGCCAAAATTTTGTTTTTAGTGCTTTAGCAAAGAACTTATGAAAAATTTTAAGATTTTTCAATTTCTTCTAGATACAATACATAAGGAGTGCTTTTTAAAGATAAATATCAGATAAAGTTATCCAGGAAAAGAGACAGTTTTACTGTGTACCCTGATCTTAATCTATTTTTCATCTCTCTGTTTGTTTTAAATTTAATTTTAGAGGACTGCTGAAGTATCAAACTAATTTAGATACCCATCCCCCTGGCTGCGTCAATCTTAATCGAACCCGCTCTCAGAATATTTCCTTACCAGAGTATCTCTCAGAACATTTTCATGAACCTTTTTCTGGAAGATATTCAAAACCAGAAGAGCTCATTCAGAGTACATCTGTGAAGATCTGTATGGAAGAGCCCAGGTTTCAAGCTAATTTTCCACAGGTCAGATGAATTTTGTGTTGGATCTCTGCAAAGTCTGTGCTTCCATACAATTGACCAATATCATATTTAAACATATTTTCGAAGTTATATATTCATGCATAATAGGATATTTCAGGATGTTTCAACAGTAAGTACTTATTATTCCATTATAGGCAGTTCAGGGCAAAAGACCTATGATATTAGAGATTATAGACATTTTTGCTTAACTGACTATATGATGGTGCTTGCTATCAGAGAGATGACATATTTTTCCCATCCATTGATAAAAGCAGGTTGAATAATGAAAACACTAGTAAAAATAATTATTATAGTGTAGTATTACATTATATTATGTATAATATTGTAAATAATAAATAGTAAAATCAGTTTATTGAATGCTTAATATTAACTGTGCTAAAATGTTCTGTATTCATAATACGGAACATTTCTTTTAATTTTCACAATGACTCTCTGAAGCAATTAATATCATTTTCAATTTTTCGATGAAGAAATTCTGCCTTACTATTTAAAGTGACTTGACCAAAGTCTCTAAACTGGTAAGTAGCAGAAATAGCATGCGAACTTAGGTCTTTGACTAAAATGCTTACTTTTGGAAATTTTCCCCAAGTACCCCAGCAGTTAGTTCAGTAAGTACCCCAATTATTTTTTGTGGCTGTGGAAACTGCCTATATGCAAATCATACCAGGTACTTTTCCTCTATACCAAGTGGAAGTAGGAAATAGTGAAGTCAAATGTCTGCCTTAAGAAAGGAAGAAAGAGATGTTAAAGCTAAAAAGAATTTGTAGATGATTTTGGAATAGTGTGCTAGTCTTGCGTTTATTGTTACTGATCTTTCAGATAACTAATAGACTGTAATTTTCAGAACTTTTCTGAGCTATACAAAATGCTGAATTTAGACAGGGCAGGTATGGTGACTCCTATTTTACTTACATGGGACTGATGCTCAAAGAGTAAGTGACTGTTCCAAAGACACAAGACTACAGACCTTGCCTTGCAAAGCCTGCTCTTTACATAGTGTCAGGCTAAGTGTCACTGTACGCGGAAGAGGCATGATCTGTCTGTATGGAAGAAGGAAAGTCTGGAACAACTATGTAAATAAGTCTTTAAAAAGTGATCACTAGAATAAGTTTCAGTTGGAGGCCCCAAATGATGTGGGAGATATTGCATGAGAGACCACAGGAGAAGAGTCAGCCACATAGGCATCTGTACTTCCCAAAGTTTGCATTAATGTAGGATCAGGGCTATCCATTCAACATACATTCAAAATTGCCGTGGTTTCCAAATTCTAAGTATCATCTTCTGTTGCTATAGTATGTAAAAGTAAGTTGTAAACAACAGCCTGGCATATCCCATTTAAAAAATGTGCTGTACATATTTAGTATTATGTATATACAATATATATATGTATATTATGCATGTACATTATGCACATTGAAATGTTCGGGGTTTCCTTCTTTTTAACAAACATTGCACTGGCACATCTTTATTGTGAAATCATCCTCAGATTTATCTGAGGTTTTTAACTTCCCTTTATTCTTTCTTTAGAGAAAGATATTGTGTATATACTGTATGTTTGTATGCATAGGAGTATATACTGTATGTTTGTATGATGTATGAAAGAATGTACACTTACTTGTTAATGGTAGTTATACCTGGGCATAAGTTTGAGGATTGGGTCTTGACATTACTTTCTCTTTTATTTTGTACTTTAGTTTTGTTTGAATGAGTTGCAGTGAGCATCTATTATTCTTTACTCATCTTTAAATGTGTTCTTATTTTAAAATACAACTTAAAATTATTATATTCTGTATGAAATAAACAATAGGGCAGGATATGGATTTTTTCAAATACAATCATTTCTTGAAGTATGTTTTCCAAAATTCTCCCTTAGACTTGGCTTTGGATTTCTGGACCTTTGTGCCTGTACTGTGCTGAAAGACTTTACAGGTGCATCCGGAGTAACAAGCCAGTCACCATCATCTCAGTCATAAGTCATCCCTCAGATGTCATGGAAGTCCGAATGGTCAAAGAAAATTTTAAAGCAAGACCTGGCCAGGTGAGTCAGTGGTCAGAAACCTTTAAAATGTCCTTTATCCTAATGTAATTTATGAAAATTAGCAGACATAGCATCATTGGACTAGTTGGAGTTTTCATTTGGTCATTTAAAAATTATCTGTTTGTTGCTTTTTAGTATATTATTCTACATTGTCCCAGTGTGTCTGCATTAGAAAACCATCCATTTACCCTCACAATGGTAAGAAACTTGTCTCTTGATTTTAAAAAATTTTAGGGTGTAATGCATCTTTTTTCTTTTTTGTGTCCTATCTCATTTTAAAAATTATTCAAGATGTCTTAATATTTTTAATGTTTACATAAATCATCTTTTTACAAGGAAAACAGAAATCCGTTCAGAAACTATATTATTTTCTGACAACTTACAATTCAGGAAGTCATGTATTAAAAATTTATTAAATCTTGTTGATTCAAAATGCAGATAATTTCTTGAATAGTTGCTCTTTTTCTTTTATGAAATATATATGAAAGTCTAACATCCACCCAATTTTCTTTAAATACATTGCATTTAAGGAAAAAGAGGGCATGGTGAGAGGTAAGGGGAACCAGGGTTGGGCGGGTCTCTAGGTTGAGTTGGAAGCATTAGAAAAGGTAAAGCGTCTAGAAAAGGTGTAGTTCAGTCTAATTTGTGCTCAAGTTATATATGGCGGAGATAATGGAAAATAAAACGGGAGAAATAAAATGGGGTAACTATTGGGAGTCTACTTAAATAATGAGCACGATCAAATATGTTTTGCTTAACAGCATATAATTTAACAGTATGCTTTGCATTATAAAAGTAGCATGAGCCCATTTTAAAAGTCCATAAATATAAGATAAAATAGAAAGTTTAAAATTTTATTTTCCCTACTTCCAAATCCTTTTCTCCATAGTTTGACTCATATTCTTCCAGATATTTTCCTATATTTTTTGGCATATGTAGATGTCTGACATTTGTTTGCTGGATCATATGGTTCTGTAACTGGCTTCTTTCACTTAACAATATATTATAGACAACTTCTCATGTTGTAATATTTATATATGCCATTCTTTTTAAATGACTGTGTAATATTCAATAGTAGGAAAGCACTGTAATTTGTTTATTAATCTCATTGATGATGGAGATTTAGATTTTTTTCAATTTCTAACAAAGGAATTTGATAATATAAAACACATGTTTAAATGCATGCTTAATAAAAATAAAGTTAAAGAAATTATGAGGGGGCAGAAAAATATCTGATGTCAATGGGCTAAGATTTGAGGGTAGAATTTTACTGGGAATGGGAGTCATTTTCTATTAGTCTAGTTGAAAATGCTGAAATCTTGGGCAAGTTACTTCATTTTTTGGACATTTGGTTCCCCAGTGTATTATTGGAATAAACACATTACGTATTCATAGGCTTGTTGTAGGTTTTAGTGAACCACACAAGTAAAGCATATAGAAGAGTGTTAGGAACACAGCAAATGTCAGGCAGGTAAATACATGCAGCAATTGTTGTGAGTATGATTTTTATCTTCAGTTTGAGTTTGCTCCTTGTGAACATAGGCTTATAAAGACAGCTAGGCCAGAAAATCTATATTTAAGAAACAAAAGAGACAGAAAGTATCAGATGGTTAGAGAAAAACCAGCAGCCATTTATTCAATAGCATTTATTAAAAAGGAAAAAAACACTATTTTTGCTTCATTTGCTCTACATTTTGCATTCTATGTGTATGTAGCAAACTTGTTTATTAATGATTAGGGAAAAGCACTTTGTTATCCAGTGAAATAATTAACAGCATTCTGTTTTATCAAGAAAGATAGCAACAGTGACCTACCAGGGACACATAATTAATTCATAATTGTCTCCCCAGCAGTGATGATATATGAGCCCATACACCCTTTCATCTGGTGCTTGTAGCTGACTGGAGTAAGAGGGGAAATTTGTTGTCATAAGGAATAGCGAACACTTAGTTGCCCACATGAAATATAACACTAAGACCTTAGTGCTTTCAGGACACAGCTCTCTTCAGAAGCCAAGTCATGTCTATCCATCCTCTAGGATGTGCAAGCCTTAAGAGGTAGTTCAGTAAGATTATTCTTGTTCCATGACAGCAGGCTTGGCTAATATAGATGCTTAAGAAACCTGGGGTATGGGCTTTCAGATGATGGTGTTTTACCTCTGATAGTTGTGAGATACATTTGTCTGCATCTGTGTATCCCACACATATAAAATAGATAACATAAAAATAAAAGTGAATAGTTGGAAAGAGAGAAAATGCGCAATAAATTTGTCTTTATTTAAGCAGTTTAAGAAGTTTAGTCTGCTAGATGTGGTGGTTTACGCCTGTAATCCCAGCACTTTGGATCACTTGAGGCTAGGAGTTAACAGTCCGGCCTGGGCAATAAAGTGAGACGCCATGTCTACAAAACCATAGAAAAGTTAGCCAGGCATGGTGGCATCTGCCTGTAGTCCCAGCTACTTGGAAAGCTGAAGCAGGAGAATTGCTTGAGTCCAGATGGTTAAAGCTGTAGTGAGCCATGATGGTGCCATTGTACCACTCTAGCCTGGGCAACAGAGTGGAACTCTGTCTCAAAAATAAAAAATGAAAAAAAAACAAGTTTGGCCTAGTGATGGGGTCATAAGAAATAAACTTTAGGAATTAACCTTTTGGGAGTTTGTGACCAGCCTGGGCAACATAGTAAGACCCATCTCTACCAAAAAAAATTAGCTGGTGTGGTGGCGTATGCCTGTAATCCCAGCTACTTGCAGGAACTGAGGTAGGAGAATCTCTTAAGTCCAGAAGTCGAGGCTGCAGTGAGCCAAAGTTGTGCCCCTTGCACGCCAGCCTGGGTGACAGAGCAAGACCCTATTTCAAGGGGAAATAAAAAACTTAAGAACCTTTGAAAATAGTTTCTTCACCACAGTGTTAAATATAGACTTTGGGATAAGAAAAGAAGGCAATTTCTGAAGGCCAATATAGAAAAGAGAGGGTTTTTGTTGTTGTTTGTTTTTACAAAGATATTTTCCAACATACAGACAAGAGGAAAGAATAGTGCAATATACCCCTATATACTCATCCTTTAGGGACAACTCTCCCAAACAGGGTCTTTCCTCTGCTCTCACATCACAGCAATCAACACAGAAAGCTTCTGTGACCAAATGTGGGGAATTTCTCTCCACCACCAAGCGTTAACACCAGGTGGATGTCCTGGGAATCAATTCCCACACTGTCTAACTGGAGATAGCACCAGATTTCACAGGTGGTGGCTCTCTCCCACAAGACTGCCCCTTCTGCCGCCAGACACTACACACAAGTTCCGGCCTCCGGAAGTTCTGACCAATTGATTTCAAGTTGGTTTCCCACTCTTTGGGTTTAATTAATTTGCAAGAGCAGCTCACAGAACTCAGGGAAATGCTTGTGTTTGTGGATTTATTATATAGGGTATGGCAAAGGATACAGATGAAGAGTCATAGGGTGAGGAATAGGGGAAGGGGCGGGAGTTTCCATGCCCGCTCTGGGTGGGCCACCCAATCCTGAAGCTCTCTGAACCCAGTTCTGTTGGGTTTTGATGGAAGCTTCATGACATCAGTATTCCTTTCCCCGGGGTATCTGGCGGGACCTTCTCCGGAAGGCTGGGGAAGGTGAGAGTCCTGTCTTGGGACAGGTGACAGGAGGGTAGGAGAAGGTATGAGAGATTCTGTTTCCGAGGCCTGCCCCTGAGTCCCAACACACCCAACATTGCAACAAAAGACGCACACGGGCTCTGGGGGTTATTAGCCAGGAACTGTGGAAGAAAACCATTGTCTAGAGCATAATTCCACAACCCACCCACTAGCTTCAACAAAAACATAGGCAGTACTTTACTTTTAGCATATATTTTATCACTGATAATTTTTATGTTTCTCAAAATAGGAAATCAAAGATTTTTTTTAACCTATATCACACACTGAGTAGAAACTTCTAGATTTAATTTCTTTCAGTTGGCCTAGGCCTCTTTCACAGGGCAAAAAGAGAAATTACAAAAGAAGTGGTGTGGAGAACCAGAAGAGCTTTACACAAGTGCCTCCCATGGCCTGACTTGCTTTCTAAAAGGTGAGGGTAGGAACTGGGATAGGCCTGCAGCCAGCTTCAGGCAAAGGTAGGAGGAGGGAAAAGGGGAGGAAAAGAGAATGTAGGGAACAGACAGAGGAACAGGAACTGAAGGTAAGAGAGAGCCAAGAAGGGGAACCCAATCATATGTGAAGTAAAATGGTTGTGAGCATTTACACAAAAGCATGAAACTTAGAATTCTGTTTCCAGCCCTGGCACTTACTACTTCTGTGTCTGAGTGTGTCCCTTGACCTCGCTAAGCTACAGTTAGTTCCATCATCTGCTAAACAGTGCTAATGATACTTATCAGGAAGTTTGTTTTTGATATGGTCAATATCAATGAAACAAAATAATGTGTAAAACCCTTCTCACATTGTTGGTGGTCAGGATTTGGTAATAAAAATAGTATTACTTTCATAATCTTAAAATATCTGCTTTTTATTTGGAAGATTACTTTCATTTCTGAAGCTGTGTTTTCTTGAGAAGCAAGTCCAGTACGTGAGCATGTGTTTTTTCAACCTGAACATGAGACTCCTTGGGGATATGATAGTACTTTCAGTCATTTGAAAAATCTGTCATGTAGATGCAGGATTTTATTTTGTTTTATTTTGGGATTCAAGAGTGGAAATGAGCTAATAGGCAAAAAGTTTTAGGAAAATAAATTAATTTTGATGTAACATAATAAAAGCATTTCTAATGATAAGATCAGTCTAGAAATGACAAAGAGCTATCTCACAGGAGCGTTTGCAAGGATAATTGTGCTAGATCACGATTTTTCAATCTTGGCATTATTGACATTTGGGGTCAGATAGTTATTTGGTGTAATGTGTTGTCCTATGCATTAACGAGTGTTTTGCAGCATCCTCAGCCTCTACCCATGAGATGCCAATAGTATTCCCCATCTGTGACTCCCAAAAGTGATTTTTAGATATAGCCAAATGTATCACAGCAGCTCCAAATCAGACAGGGCGCTCGTGTTAAAGTTTACATATTCTGAAGAAATCACCCAGAGGACAGGTTGATAAAGACATGGGTTTATTAATGCTTACAGAAGGGAGCTGAAGGAGGCTGTCTGGTACAAAACTTTCCATACTCTAATAGATGTAGGAAGAGATTATATATCCCCAG